AAAAAAAAAAAGTTTAAATCTAGCTCGTTCCAACTCTATTGATCCCAAATATCTAGATGACTAACATGGCTCCAATAAATCATCCTATCAACATGGGATAGTTCAACTCGCCTCACTCAATCTTTATTGACATTCCTATCAGCATGCAATCTCAAATATGCTTGTATTAATTGTATAGATCACTACTTATTCAAACTTCTATCCATTCGATTTTTTGACCCAAATGACAAGACCATGTTGGCCCTGTCCATCCATGCGCCCCGTGCACCCGTAGATTGACAGGGCCTATGCGATCTGTCCGTTTGGAAAAACCCCTCTTAAACATCTCTTCTAAGAATCTCATACGTGCTCAAACTTTGGAAGTGAAAAAAGTATGACCGCACCAAATTAAACCCTGGTCAAATATTACCCCTGTCAAAAAATTGAAAAGGCCAAAAAAAAAAAAAAAGGAAAAAAAAACCTATAGAAACCTCTCCTCCTCAATTCCTCACTCTCCCACCCAAAGTTTCAATTATCTCTGGGAACTTCCATCAATTTTGTTTCTCATTATTATACACGGTATGTGTAGTTATCCACTCAACTCGCCCTCATTTTCTTATCTAATACTTTTTGACTGTTTATTGTTTGATGTTAATTAATTTAGCTTTTTTGTTTAGATTTTAAATTAATTTCGGAATTTTGGAAATAAAATTGTACGATGTGTACTACTGAACAGTTTTTACTTTCTATTTTGATTTACAATAAAATGTATGTATAGATGTTTACTCCACTCGCGTTCAATTTTTTGTGTTATAAATTGTTTGTTAGTTAATTAAAGTTTAGTTTTAAATTAATTGATTTAATTTTGTAAGTAAAATGCCTAATATATACTCTAGCACAGTTTCTGCTTTGATTTTTTTCGAATAGTTGGAACTTTTTGGTTTCATTTGCTGGTTTATATTATTGATTAAATTGTTTTTCTGTTAATTTTTTCTTTGCGAATTGAATGATGGTAAAATGTCAGATTGATTTTCTGTTGAAGCTTAATCTAACGGTTTCCTGTGATTTCATTTCGTGCGCAAATGTGTTGAGAAACATTGCTCGACTTTATGGTCATTCCCTTGTACTAGGAAATTTTTTCGAGTTACTGAAAATTTATATGCTACTAATAAACTAATTAGGCTCAATAAATGTCTATGTGCCTCTGAATTTTTTTTTTTATCTATTTGTATTACGATAAAATTAACATCATAATTGTACCACGTGATTTTTTAATAATACAACTTTTCTTAAATCATTTTTATGAGGATTTCGTATCCTTCTTTCCAAATTATGTCAAAATAAATTTTCTCTGATGAGATAAGTAATTAAGTGAAATGCTTCACAAAAAGGGAGAAGTATGGGCTGTATGGTTAATGTAAGTAGTTGTTTGTAGAGTCAGTTTACCATTAATATAACGTTGTTTAGTGGCCTGACCTCATTTTATTTTCTTTTTAATTGTGATCCACTAATCAGTGATCGCATTTGCCGTGGACAAGATGGAACAGGTAAACATAGTTCTGTCTTGACTCTTTCTCACATTCAGTCATGCTTGTACGGGTTTTGATGTCTGTTAATTTTGGACACAGTATGAAAAAGTAGAGAAGATTGGCGAGGGAACGTACGGAGTGGTGTACAAGGCTCGCGATCGTGAGACAAATGAAACTATTGCTCTAAAGAAAATTCGTCTGGAGCATGAAGATGAAGGCGTGCCAAGCACAGCTATCAGAGAGATTTCTCTGTTGAAAGAGATGCAGCATGGGAACATTGTAAGGTACATAAATTAGTAATCTCTGTTTATATGGTTACTTGCACATTTTAAGGGAGGCAGAGAGATGATGATGAGGCGCATGTGAAGGATAGGCTATTTGATGCCGATGAATGTCATTGCTGACTGATATTGTTACATCAACTTATGCAGCTAAATAGATTTGTAGAAAATAATGGTTTGAGATTTCAGCTGCAATTGTTTTTGCTCAAATCAGGACAAGGTTTACTTGAGATTTTCACTCATTTTTTTCTCTATTACATTTGATGACAGATTGCAGGACGTGGTCCATAGTGAGAAGAGATTGTATCTGGTGTTTGAATATCTGGACTTGGATTTGAAGAAGCACATGGATTCGTGCCCAGAATTTTCCAAGGATCCTCGTTTGGTTAAAGTGAGTGACCTCTTTCTGCCCGTTGGAGGCAGGTGAAATTGAGGCGTTCTTATCATTCAAAGAGGACGGTGGATTAAGGGGTTGCACTGTTCAAATATTTTAACTTGAAAATTGTAATTTTGTCTCTTGAAAAGGATTTTCTTCAGTTCCCACATTTATTGCTTGAGCACAATCACGGTATTCTGGGTGTTAGAAAAGAGGGACGGGGAATTTATNAGGATTTTCTTCAGTTCCCACATTTATTGCTTGAGCACAATCACGGTATTCTGGGTGTTAGAAAAGAGGGACGGGGAATTTATAGTTCATTTTACTATTTCTCTTCCTCCTCACCCCCCAAGAGAAACATTTGTTTTGAGTGGTGACATACCCTGGAAGTTCTTATGAAATTAAAACCCTTAGCCTCTTGAGCTTGTGAAACTGTGTCACGTTATTGAATTTGAGTCGTATTTTGCAGATGTTTCTATATCAAATATTACGGGGTATTGCTTATTGTCATTCCCATAGAGTCCTTCATCGAGACTTGAAGCCTCAAAATTTGCTGATTGATCGCCGCACTAATGCATTAAAGCTCGCCGATTTTGGATTGGCCCGAGCATTTGGTATTCCTGTCAGGACATTTACACATGAGGTGAATATTATGAAACTTTGTCCTCTCTATCTATCTATGGTGATTGTGCATCACTGATAATTTTTTTGTGCATTTTCATTTTTTAGTATTTATCTGATTTTATTTCTCACATCATTGTCAAGGGCATTTAGAAGGCAGATGAAAGGATGGTTAAATAAAAATTAGTGTGAGGGTTAATTATTGTAATTTGACAGGTTTAGTGGGGTGGAGTTAGATCTCTGTATTTTTATGTTCCTACCCTAGTATTTTCATCCCATTACCAATCCTTTCGTAATGGTTATTTCACTTGATCGAAAATATCATATTGGCTTAAAGTTTTATGCTTCTTTGCAGGTGGTGACACTATGGTATAGGGCACCAGAAATATTACTTGGATCGCGTCATTATTCTACTCCTGTTGATGTGTGGTCAGTTGGATGTATATTTGCTGAAATGGTGAACCGGCGACCATTGTTTCCTGGGGACTCTGAGATTGATGAACTATTTAAGATTTTCAGGTGCTGTTTTTTCCCATACATGATTTCCTGCCTGTGATCATCTCTTTTCATTTCAGATAGCTGTATTCCCTTGATGGAGGTTGTCAAATGCTCTCTTCATCTTTGACTATAGTCCATAGGTTCTTTGTACAGAATGCACATATTTTTCTCTTTGCTGTGTCCTTCAGATAACCCTACTTTCATATTTTTCTCATGTTTGTGTTTGTCAGTAGTTTTCTTTTGTTTATGCTTTACCTTTTTCTTGCACTTTGGGGGTGGGGGCTGTGAGTTGGAGATGATTTTTACTGAAAACTTTATTTATCTGAAATCAGATGATTTGCTTATTATCATTTATAGTTGACTTATTTTGTAATGAAGAATCATGGGCACCCCAAATGAAGATACTTGGCCTGGAGTGACTTCGCTGCCTGATTTCAAATCCGCCTTTCCAAAGTGGCCCCATAAGGTAATTGAAGTTGGCATTAATTGTAATTTTTCTCCTCACCTCTGGTATGAAACATCCAAGACTTATCAGATGAAAACTTAATTGGTGATTGCTCGACTTTCTAGGACCTTTCCACCGTCGTCCCTAATCTTGATGCAGCTGGTCTTGATCTCCTTCTTGTAAGTTCAGATTCTGTGCTTCAGCTTACCAAGAACGTAAAGAAATAGATATTCTGCACAATGGTTGCAAGTGCAGTAAATCGATTCTAGTATGATTTTGCTACAAAAATGAGACTCACTTAGAGTTAGCTTATAACTTATAAGCTTACTTAAATGGAGAGAGAGATCAAGATTCGTACTTTTCTCTAATAGAAAAAGGGACTGGTGTTCCTGTTACTAATTTGCTGTTGCATTACAATTACAGAAAATGCTCTCTTTGGATCCGAGCAGAAGAATCACTGCGAGAAGTGCCCTTGAGCATGAATACTTCAAGGATATTGGGCTTGTCCCCTAATTCTGGTACCCCTCGTCCTTGTGCAAATGTAAATTGTGAGGACTTTCTGGCTTTATTATATCTGATATGTGTGGTCTGTAGGTGAAAATTATCCGGGTTTGATTGTCATCGACACATTCAACATCTGAGTGGCATGAGGCACAGCAATTCTGGAATTCGTATTGTTATACTTTTCCTGTGATTGGTTTTCATAGTATTTTTTTCCCCCTGTTTTAAGTTTCAGTCTGATGAATATTGGCTTTTATTCTTCTTTTCAATAGATTGACTTTCTGTGCTGTTTATTCATTTAAACACACTATATTCGAATCAGGAAAGCAACTCATGCCTATGGACCTTAGCGGACGTATTTCGTTCGAATAATGCTATTCATCAGCTCTGCTGATGATTAGCATCTAATGTGGCAGTGAGTCAGGTTACATATAATAGCATTACTCTTTTCATTTACTCTGATCCTTAGTAGCCTTTTGATGAATTTTCCTTCCAAAATGGTGATGATTTTTTGTTTTTACACATAGCACTATTCTTTCGCCATAAATTGAAGATTTTAACTATATTGAAAGAATTATTCTTGATCCAAATATAGGAGTGAGTCAAGCAATCTCATGGGACGAGAATGAATTCAACTATTAATTGTATAATTTCTATAAGAATGTTATTCAGTAAGTGAAAATGAAATTGGTTCAAGATGGTTATTGTTTTTATGATCTTTCTTCAAGGATATTGGGCTTGTCCCCTAATTCTGGTACCCCTCGTCCTTGTGCAAATGTAAATTGTGAGGACTTTCTGGCTTTATTATATCTGATATGTGTGGTCTGTAGGTGAAAATTATCCGGGTTTGATTGTCATCGACACATTCAACATCTGAGTGGCATGAGGCACAGCAATTCTGGAATTCGTATTGTTATACTTTTCCTGTGATTGGTTTTCATAGTATTTTTTTCCCCCTGTTTTAAGTTTCAGTCTGATGAATATTGGCTTTTATTCTTCTTTTCAATAGATTGACTTTCTGTGCTGTTTATTCATTTAAACACACTATATTCGAATCAGGAAAGCAACTCATGCCTATGGACCTTAGCGGACGTGTTTCGTTCGAATAATGCTGTTCACCAGCTCTGCTGATGATTAGCATCTAATGTGGCAGTGAGTCAGGTTACATATTATAGCATTACTCTTTTCATTTACTCTGATCCTTAGTAGCCTTTTGATGAATTTTCCTTCCAAAATGGTGATGATTTTTTGTTTTTACACATAGCACTATTCTTTCGCCATAAATTGAAGATTTTAACTATATTGAAAGAATTATTCTTGATCCAAATATAGGAGTGAGTCAAGCAATCTCATGGGACGAGAATGAATTCAACTATTAATTGTATAATTTCTATAAGAATGTTATTCAGTAAGTGAAAATGAAATTGGTTCAAGATGGTTATTGTTTTTATGATCTTTTGAGGATTTTGAGGAACTTCTGAATCCATTTGGTGGCTATTTTTTTCAAAATGCATTTTTCTCTCTCTTCTTTTCAACCACACGTTTTTTATTAAAATAATATTACACGCAAATAAAAAAAATTCTTATTTTTCAATCGCGTATTTCACATTAATTTACTATTCTAAAATGTATTTTTACATAAAAATGACTATTAAACACCCAAGTTCAATTTAATAAATGGACAGAGCCGCCATCAATTATTATCAACTGAGAATTGAGATTGTTGTCTGGTTACATTATTTTGGTAATTTGAGAAACATTTTGATCATGTTTATGAACTTATTATAAACACGTAGGCCCCGTTCTGTAGTTTTTTTTTAAAATGTATTTTTTTCTCTCTTCTTTTTAATTACATATTTTTTATTAAAATAATATTACACGTAAATAAAAAACTTTTTCTTATTTCTTAATCACACATTTCACATCAATTTACTATTCTAAAATACATTTTTACATAAAAATGTCTATCAAATACCCCCTTAGTCACTTTTTATTCATATATTTTGAGGGATTCATGAGTGCTATTTATTTATCTATAACTAATTTCCATCAATTTATAATTTAAACATTTAAATAAAACATTCTCTGAGTTTAATTAAAAAAGTAGATAACAAGTTAACAATGATAGATATTCGTTAAGATCGATAAAATATTTGTTTTGGGCAAAATGTAGTGCAAGTCGGTCAAACTTTAGTGTAGGTGAATCTAGGTCACTCATCTTCAATTTGGTGCAATCTGATCACCCAACTTCAATTTAATCATAAATCTAGTCATCCATCTTCAATTTGGTGTAATCAAGTCACTCAACTTTAATTTACTTGCAATTTGATCACTTTGTGCACTATTGTTTGATTATCATCTATGTTTAAAATAATGAAGAGCTAACATAAACATACTTTAAGTTTCTAAGTTTATTACATAAAAAATATTTGAAGATATGTGATGTGCATTTTATGTGACATTGTCGTATATGATAGTTATACATTAGTTTTAATGTACATGTTAGTATATTTCATTTGTTAAATTGAGGGGACAATTCATAGAATGATAAAATTTGCAAGCAAACCGAAATTGAATGACTTGATTGCATAAATTTGAAAAGATGAATGATTGTATGCATTTAACCATATTATTTAATTACGGTTCTTGATTCTAACCACCTGTTTTTAACTATTTATTGTAAATTAGGTTCTTTTTTTTTTTCCCCCCAACACTCTCTTGGTATGTTTGAACTTTGAAGAATATTTCATCAAAATTTAATTTGAATATGAACAATAAAAACAATTAAATTTATTTTCAACTTAAAATTGGGATTCTCGCTTAAATCAAGATTACCATTTATTTGATGTTAGTTCTTGATTATTTATTTCAAAAAATCAACTTCGAAAAAGGGCTTACTACGACTGGATTGGATTGTGAAACTCAAAAGGGAGTTAATTGTTTCGATGGTCACTGAATTTAGATTCATGTCATTGATTGATTATTGAAATTTAAAATGTCGAGTTTTGGTCACTAAACTTAGGTCTATATTTTCAATTGTTCACTAAAGTTTAAAATGTCAAGTTTTGGTTACTGAACTTTGAAAAATATTGTACATTACTCGCAAAACTTTGAAAAATGCTGTACAATACTCACTGTAAATTCGATATTTTTCAAAGTTTAACAGCTATGCTAGTGAGTAGCGTACGATATATTCCGATGTTCATTGTCTAAAACTTGATATTTTAAATTTCAATGAGCAATCGAAAATATAGACCTAAGTTCAGTGAGCAATCGAAGACATGAACCTCAATTCAATAATCAAAATTCGATATCTAATCAAATATATGAACATAAGTTCAGTTACTATCGGAACAATTAACTCCTCAAAAGGAGACAATGGTTTCGATCGATAAATAGATCATTCCAAGGGCTATTTGTGTCAATTTCCCGTTCTTTCACGAACTCATGTTCATGGCGATATATTTACATTTTCCCCTATATTTGCGCATTTGCGAGCACGAATGAAAATCAGATTCCTAAAAACTACAGTAATTGCTATTAAATGGACGACGAGAGGATTCTAGAGAGGGAAAGGTTACAAATCGAGCAAATTCGACAGCTCGAATCTGAGGAATTGCAAGTCGAAGAAGTCGAGGAATCGTCAGACGATGAAGACGTTCAAAACAGGTAAGAAATTTGAGTTAGTCGCTTAATTTTTACTTATTTTCACATGGTTTGCTTTTTTTCTTCACTTTCAAAAAAATATTGAAATATGAGTGATGTAATTGTATATATTTTTTTTCTCCGGTTAACTTTGCACGTTTGGAGAGTTCTAGAATGCGCGAAATTTGATATTCAGATCTGACGTCGAATTCGTAGTTAATTCTTTGTTTAAATAAACCGAAGAATCTTTATATAGTAAAATGTTTTCTTTTCTTTTCTTTTTTGTGTGTTCTGTGTCTAGTCCAATAAATTTTGCCCGTCTGTTTTAAATATCTTGTAGCTTGCAATGTAATATGAAAAGAATTGGAAAATCGAGTAGGAACTTATTTTTTAAAATTTTCGTAAGAAAAGAAAAGAATTGGTTTGTGCCCTTTTAGAAATAAGAGATTTATATCTCATAATTATCAACAAATAAAGCAGCAATTAAAGTAAACATCAGGTTAAAATTAGCCAAATGAATGAATGATTGTCATGGACCAGTAAGCTTAATTTTACAGATATCAATTTCACTGGCTACAAATTAACAACAAAATTATTGGCCATGTTGGCTGGTTTGCAGCTCAGCAATTTATTTGATTTTCTTTTCGTATGACATGAACTAATTTCTGATTGTTTTATCCTGGTTTATCTGTTATCTTAGTTCTGGTGGCGCTTCTGCATCAGTGGAATTCACATATGACACCTCTTTGGCTGCCTTGCATTCATATCTTGGAGGTAGGTATCTATTGATAGATGCCTCCTTATTTTATTCATGGAAAAATATCAGAAATTTAATGATCCACTCATTCACCAGAGGTTGAGAACACTCACAATAGGCTGGCTTTCTTGGAAGGTGGTGCTGTATTGACCCTTCCTTTGTTATATCTTGAAGGTACTTGCTTAACTTTTTCTTGATTGTAAAGTGAACTATAATGACCTCATGGATGTTCCAACTATATAGAAAAAACCCAGGTATAGTGATCTTCGTAATGAAAGTATTTGGGGCATGAGTACGACTGAAGAGAAGTGACCACCTCTAAATATTCTGTGAATGGTTACAGTGGGGGACCTCCTCTGCTGAAAATATCGTAAATGACCCACTAAACGTTTATTGATTATTTGGCTGATCATACTACAATGATATCATTCAACAACGCCTCAACTATTGATATTTTTTATCTTCAAAAAAATTTTCCTTTTATATGACATTTCTGATTTCTTAAATCCTTTCCAAGACAACTTCAGTTGTGGCCACGGAAAGTTAGCCACACATTTTGCAGAAAATGAAACAGTTGTAATTTTTCTTCTGTCTTTCGTTTTATTTTCATGTTTTACAAGTTTATGGTTCCTTTGCTGGTTAAAGAAGCTACCTAATCAATTCTTAGCAGTTCTTAGCAGTCATGCAAGTATTTTGTTTAATCACTTTGATCTAAATCTACATTTCAATTGTGCATTTCCCTCTTCGTTTTTTATCTGCTTAACTTACTAATTGTCATCCATATATCCTTGTAGTCACTTCGAGCCAAAATTCACGTTGAATTATGCGCATCAGTAGTCCATTGTTTTTATATATGCCTGCAGATAAGTGAAATAAGCAATATTAAGCACGCAGAAAATGCCTAATTGGTTAATTCCAGATAATGAAATGTCACACGTCTAAGCAAGAATGATATCAAAAGTTTTGATGAGCCAAATGAAAATTTCACAGCTGAAGAGCAACACTTGTATTTTTTAATGATCCGTTGTCCTGGGTATTCATTGTCTACCACCCTTTCTTAACAGTCACGTCCAACACATTATCTCTTTATCTAGATTCTCCATTTGCTTTTTCTAATTTACCTTTACTTTTCAGGAGTTGTTCTGTTTCCAGAAGCCAGACTTCCCCTTAGAGTAATTTTACCTAATTTTATAGCAGCTGTTGAACGATCGTTGAGACAAGATGATGCTCATTCTATTGGTGTGGTACGTGACCTCCTTGATACACTATTTCATTATCTTTCTGTGATTGCACTTTGTTTAGTGCTTAAAATTGACATGAGGTGAGCCATGTTCTTCAGATTCGTCTTTACAGGGATCCTAATAATGGGAAGATACAATTTGCAACTACTGGTACAACTGCAGAGGTACAAACTGGAACTCTTCTTCCCAGTTCTTTTGTCTGATCCCTCCAAAATTGACTTATATGCCATGAATTTAGGTTTATATGTAAAGCATATCTATTTTATGTTTGCTTGTTTTATATGTTTAAATAGAACTAAGGTTCCATGACTTTATGAATGGGATAGTACAATTCTGCGTGTAGTTCTAATTCTTACTTTAGAGAGAGTGACCTGCCAATATCCGCATCTACCTATTTTTATATAAAAATAGGTTACAATTATTACTTTATGTTTTTTTAGGAATTATTTTGATGGAGTATGCAGCATTTTATAGCTTAAACTTGTTTCTTTTGAATTTCTTTTATTTTTGTTGTGTTTCCAGAGCATGCTTTCAACATTCATACAAGGAGAATGATCGTATGTCAAAATTGGGTGCAGTGAGAAATTATGTAAATTATCAAAAGTTTTGATATCTA